CTTGTTCCTCGGAGGTAGTTCCTCAAAAATGCTTAGCCCAGACCCTAGACCCCCTATTCTGTGAAAGTCACTAAGCTCTCTTATCTCCAGGGGGAAAAGGCGTTTCCTGACCCTGAGCTGGAACCTTCCTAAATCCTTTCCCAATATGATCGTCTCCTAACAGTAACAGAGGGCGATATTTCAAGCAAGCACCACAAAAATACAGCCTATCCTTTTACAGACTGATAATGGGTTACACAGGGAGTAATACTTTTCTCTTGAATATAATGTCCCCAATAGGAAATATATTTGAATAATGAAATCCAAAGATGATCCTGGAAGACTGAGACACACTTTGGGGAAATGGACAATTGTAAGAATGGAAGTTAGATAATGGGACAACTCGGAAAGTGACTGAGACGTAAACAATTGGGGATTGGATAGTTGGCAATGGACAATTGGAGCATAGTTGGCCTTAGGCCCAGCTTTAAAAGTATTTACTAAAACTGGCCAACTGAACCAAAGCAGCCAAACATTCAGAGGATTGCTCTTGGGAAATTCTATGTCACTGTGTGCGTATAGAATTCACAGCCCCTGCAGATTTCTTTGCTTCCCCACAGAAGAGGCAAAGGGAAACTATAAGGGTACACATGATCAATGCCATAACTAGCTAATTTTGCATCTGAGGAAAGAATATAAAATTGCACCTCCTCAGGAAACGGCACCCCTAAGGAGTGGTTGACATTGACAGGAGCGCTGACATTGCGCAAGGCACGAGCGACGATACCTTAGTAGCTCCTGTCTTAAAATAATTAATTTTCTATATTATTTTTCTGCACCCCCCTCAGCTATACGGCTGAGGTAAGTGCGTCACCCACCTCGCCCTTGTTACAGCCCTGCACATGATGCCCCAGGCAAGCAGATTCAAACCTTGACCTCTAGAGCTTAGTGTAGGAGCCTCTACACTACAGGTTGAGCTATAAAGCTAGCTAGCACTCAGCTTAGGCTGTAGTGCTCACTCATATCAGAGACAGCGACAGCAAGAGAGAGAGAATTGTTCCCAGTTTTCTTAGTGAATTCACCAGGAGTATAAAACAGGTATACATTTTTAAGGAGCTTTATTGTCAAGGACAGTATGGCCTTGTAAATGCTTGTGGTGCCTCAGGATGAGGACTGATCTACATGTTTGGACTGATAAAAATTCTTATCAAAATACACTGTATGAACTGTTTGCTACTGACGGTTCTAGAGATGGTCAGTAGCCAATATAAATTGTGAGTCTGAGTCCCCAGAACTCAATTGCCATTCAGCTGAGATGGGAGGGGTTGAGGGATTTCCCCCTGTGCTCCCTACTCCCGTTCTTCATCCGTTGTACTGTAAATTAAATAAATTACCAAAATAAGAGAAACCTACATGATTATATTGTTACCTTCATATATAAAATATGCACAATTTTGCAGAATTGTAAAATATTGTGCACAAAATGTTTAATGTTTGGTGCAGAATTTTTAATTTTTGGATGCAGAATTCCCCCGGGCTTAGAGAATACTATTAGATTACAGAGACAATGTAATGGGGCCATTGAAAAGGTGGGAGACTGGGAACAGGCAGGGCTGAATGTTAACAAAAACTAGATAGTATCAGGAGCACAATATTACGGATGTGAAGAAAGAAAAGCGGAGCAAAGAAAGCAATAGAATCTGGGAGAAAATGAGAGAAAGTCAGAAAGACACTGAGAAATCCACCTGAAAGTCTGACTGAGACTCATTTATCACCTTGCGCTGATGAGTGGTGGAGGATGACAGCTGCGGTATTATCTGCCTTTTTATTTTTTGTAATAGAAAAACAACTTTTTTTGTTTGTGCTGAAAAAATTCTGTTCCCTAAGGCCGTGAGTGTTAATGAATGTAAATAGGTTTAGGGTGATATTCCAACCACTGAGGTAATTACGTAACATGATCAACCTCTTAAATTGACCCAATGCCCAAACGTGTGACACAATTAGGGATTAAAACCCAAAACAGGAGACAAAAAATAAATATCTTTAAGATAGTAGAAAGCAGAGTGTATAAATCAATTACCCAAAACTGTTTGTGGTGTTGTTGCAGCTCTGTTGGTCCCATGACTCAGGATATGAGCGACTCAAGACAAGATGAGGGATAATTTTTACTGGACCAGCTTCAGTTGGTGGAAGGGAAAGCTCTCAAACTCCTGAAAGTTTTTTTTTTTTTCAGATCTAAAGAAAGTAACCAGAGTGCACAACGAATACAAGGTTCTCTCATCAAACTTATCAATAATATAAGATAATGAACACAAAATACCACAAGGTGGCGTAGGAGGGGACCAAATTTGTATCTGAAATAACAAATGTCCTCCTCAAACAGTTGAGAGGTATTACCTGGTGTGGTTTCAGTCTTCATTGCAAGACGTCTAATCATAGGATCAGGTACACAACCACAGACACTCTTTTCATCCCATTAGGGTCATAAAAGATTAGAGGATGTTGTGGAAAAAAAGTCAGAGCTGGGAGTGAGGATCTGTTTTCTGTTCTCAGCTCTACTATTCACTCACTCTGCCATTAACACACTGTGTGATTTTTGGGCAAGTCACTTCCCTCTGTGCTTCAGTTTCACTAGCTGTACAGGAAGGATAACACAAACTTGCCTCACAGCAGGATTAAGACTTAATTCATTAATGCCTTATGACACTCTAGATCATCAGATGCCTCAGCAACAGTCGGACAACACAGCAGGTGATATGTATTACATGCACAAAAATTTTACCAAATCTTCTTTTCTAAACAATCTTATTCTATGGGCCAAATCCCAAGGTCCTTATATAGATAAAACTTTTATGAAAGCCAATTGAAACTTTTAAGCAAATTAAGTAAAGATCTTACGATTTTGGGTAATTGGTGTAAAATGGGATGACGACTGTATTATATAATCACGCCAGCATCTGTATTCTCTGTCTTAGTTATAGTCATATACCAAACTTACTTTTAAAGGAGCATTTTGTGTTAACTAATTCCTTTGGGTATATAACTATTTTCTGTAACTGCAAAAGCAAACCCTTCATGTAACAAATAATGAGCAATCTTGTGGCAAATATATTATGAGTTTTGAGGGTAAAACCCATTTAATCAGATGAGTTAGAATGGAAATACAATTTATTCATAGTGCAGAAAATAATTCCTTTAACACAAGAACCACTTTGGAAGCTCACAATGCAGTATTACAGGGTTCTGTAGAGAATCTAACAATTTAGGTCAGTCTTGAGGAGCAAGGCCAAGAGTTGTTTGCCTGCTCAGACCCATAAGAAATGAACATGTGCCATTGTAGTTAAGCTCTGTCATGTCTCTTATTGAATCTAAGCCTTCATACCATTTACACTTAGGTAATTATTTACATATTTTCCTACTCAGAAGAGCAAATCATCTTCATATCTTGACTAATTAATCTATAAATATCAGACATTAATCACTGTTGCCTATTGAAATTACTGACAAATTTCATTACATGGAGATCTCCTGTCTAGAGGCAGCTATGCTGCCCAGGAATGTCCAATTCTTGGTGTGTTCAGCAGCTAGATACTGAATAGGCAGTCAGAACTCCTAGATTATATTCCCGGCTGTGTTTAAATGAGATCACTCTTGGATGGAATGCCTTCCACTCAGGTAACTGGAAACAGCCAAACCATGGGCTCTAGATTGTGTGGAAACACAGCAAGGAAGATTAAAGTGAGGAAAGAAAGGAGGACAGAACTGAGGAAGAATGAAAGTGTTTGTATCTAAAATGGCAACTCATGGCCATGTCGGATTAGATGTTTGGACATTTGAGAGTAAAAAGGTTTTGCAACCAATGAATGCTCTGTCTAGTCAAAAGCGACGAGGAGTCCTGTGGCACCTTATAGACTAACTGAAGTGTAGGAGCATAAGCTTTCGTGGGCAAAGACCCACTTCGTCAGATGCATGTCATCTGACGAAGTGGGTCTTTGCCCACGAAAGCTTATGCTCCTACACTTCAGTTAGTCTATAAGGTGCCACAGGACTCCTCGTCGCTTTTGCAGATTCAGACTAACACGGCTACCCCTCTGATACTGTCTAGTCAGGGATCTTTAAGCACCAACATGATTATACATCACTAAAACACATGTCCCCAGTAATCTACCCATCACATATTCACATTTATTCTGGATACAAAATAAGTAAAACTAAGATTGACAATAAGAAGACACCCACCATTCTGAATACAGAACTTTGAATCATGTAAAACAAAGTTATAGGAATAATAATACATCCAAATATCCTTTTTTCAATAAAAGTACTTTTATCACATTAAAGAGAACTACAAAACTTATATACATACCCAGTTACTTTTCCATAAGAATGGCCATAATGGGTCAGATAAAAGGTCCTGCCAGGTCTTACAGAGGAAATTAGTAGAATAGCTAATTTATCTAAGCAATTGCTAAAATTGTCACAGAAATAATGTCCTCTTCAATGAAAAGAGCTGTTCACATGCTTGTGAGCATGTGGCTGACATGCCACAATACCAAAGAACTTGGGAATCCTCACTGTTTGGATCAGCATTCCCTTGGGATGTCTGTCAAAAATTATGAACTTGCAGTAACTTGTGATATTTAAGCTGTTAAGGGCCAGGGACTCCCTTATTCCTATTTGTACAGTTCAGAGCACAGGTCAGGTGTTATGATAATACGTACCATCCATACATGTGCATGGTTGTACATCCATCTATTAAAACTATATTATTCAAAAGCTAATAAAATTTGTGTGTGATCCTATTCAAATAGCAGACAAAGTGCTTGAATGGAGATTGGGCACCTGATGAGAAAAAAACATTGAATAAGGTATGTGAACAACACAGGAGCAGAAAGAACAAAAGAGGGAAGTAGGATAAAGAAGATAAGGGTTTTTTTTTCTGATGACAGACAGATATTGAACAAAAATAAATAACATAATCAGGAGAAAAAGATTTAGAGAGGAAATGACCGAGAAAGAAAATGGACGGAGATCAAACTGGTAAAGCAAATGAAATCTCTGTACTGAAAGTGGGTGTGACGTGAACCCTTAGTTATTTGTACTGCAATTAATACATTATCACCAAGCCAGTAATTTGTTGATTTTGATGAGGATAAACAAGTTGCAGAGTGATAATACTCCTAGTAAGTATTCTTACATGGTATGGTGTGTGGAGGTGGATTGCAGCCATCACTTCAAGAATAAAGGATTCAGTCTTCTAAGTGTCAGGCCAATCATGCACAACTTGTTTTAAACATGCATTTTAAGAAATTGACTTAATTTCTATCAGTCATGCTTTCTTCATCAGCTAATTTGCTACCCAGCAATCTAATAATACATATCACATTTTAAATGGAGGTAGTCTAAAATACATTTACCCTTCCAATGTTGATAAAATAATTCTGTTATGTCCAGACATTGTAGTCTCAGCTGAACTCCTATAAATATTAAAAATACACAGAAAGTAAATGGGTCAAGTATTTATTTTATGAGTGACTCTAATCCTATGTATTAAAAGCATAACTATCTAATAAATATTAAATTCAAAGTTAACAAAACAAGTAATGTGTGGAATATTTGTTAACTGTTTTAAGTGTCATTCATTCATAGATAGCAATATGCCTTTTCTTTTCCCCCTTCCTTGTGACTCTTTAGTCTCTAGACTTTTAATCTGGTTTTAATCTGCAAGAAAGCAGCTTTGTAGGTGATATGTCTTTAATAAAGGAAATAAAATATTGGATGTGGAAAGACCCATGACAGTTGGGAAATGGCAGCTGATTAGATGGAGGATCAGTTGGGGGTGGTGGAATATAAGCTAGGAAGGGGACAGTAAATGACATGTGATTATGTTTGAGACAGAACAAGCAAGGGATAAAGTTGATTTGAGTACTAAGTAATCATAGGTAAATAGAGATAGAACATGTGTGCATTTTAAATCCATATTAACATTAAAAATAAACTGTTTGCTATTTTACATGAGGGTATTTATGAGTGGTACTTTAACAGCTGGAGAGAAATAAATGTACGAAGGCCAAGGAATTAAGAGCAATAGGATGAAAATAAAATAAATTAGATCCCAGCTTTAACACTGCAAGAGAAACCACTATCATGTGGAAAAGGTAAAGATACCAGTTAAATTGCTATGCTGCTCTTGGGATTACAATAAACTGCAGGTGATGTCTTTAACAGGCAAGATACATTAATTAGAATATAAATATGCAGAATGTCAATCCAGTGCACTATTTAATGGAAAGGATGACTGGCTTCACTTCCACAAATAGCACCATTTTTTTAGAGTTGCATATTTAACTTTCCACACAAATAGCAGGAAGCGTATTTTAGATGATGCCCCTTTGCAGGAAGAGATGGAATGTTGGAACTGTGGGAATTAGAAAAAGGTCTTCTGAGGAAAGTGGAGTGTTAGCCACAGGAATTCAGACCCCCTTCCCGCTTGAGGAGGAGAGAGAAAGAAAGGGTAGGGAGGGAAGCGTATTAGGAAGCAGGGTAAGAAGAATTATGTCAGGGAATAGGGAACTGAATAAAGGGGAAAGCCAACAGAATCCTGGAGAAAAGAGACATAACTAAAACTCACCGGAAAACAGAGTCCCAATGATTTCTTTAAACTCAAGTGTGTGAAGCCTGTGAATTGCTGTTTCACATGTATGGTAATATATATATATATAGAGAGAGAGAGAGAGAGAATCTTGCTATATTGAGTACACTCATTTCTGTGACAAGCAAACAGATTTGGAGAATGTAGCACTGTAGCTATGCAACATGATATATTTACAGTGGATTTGCCACTGTCGCAATCCAAACAGTGTATATTTAATATACCCAAACCTTGATGCAATGCTAAAAAGCCACAGGCTATACTCTGCCTTTAATACAGACAAGCAATTCCCACTGTCACCAACAGAAATAAAGCACATGGATTGAGGGCACTATATGGCTTTAAGTGTTTTTACAGCCCTCCTTTTGGGGTTGGAAGCTTGGTGTGCTCATTTGCACATCAATACCCAGAATGCTTTTTGAGCTCCACCACTATTTTTACGTGTGTTCACGTCTGAGCTTTTGGGGGGGAAAAGTGAAAGTTTGGGATGTTCCTGTGTGCACAAAGTTCCATATTTTCCCCAGTATAACATTTTAAGTGAAGAAATCATATTTATCAATTGATCATCTGGAAATTTATTTAATATTAGATCTAATTTAACATCACAAGTGTAGAAGGGTATACTTGAAGTCTTTGACTTTTTTGATACATCCATATAGCAAAATGTAAACTGAGTGATAGAATTAGAGGGAACGTGCAAAAACAAACTGTGGTTACTTCCCACACCAAGGCCCAACAAGTAAATTTCATCCACCACATCTGAAATTATCATGAAACCATTAAAATAGGATTTTATTGTGGAGAAAATGTAAACTGAGTGATAGAATTAGAGGGAACGTGCAAAAACAAACTGTGGTTACTTCCCACACCAAGGCCCAACAAGTAAATTTCATCCACCACATCTGAAATTATCATGAAACCATTAAAATAGGATTTTATTGTGGAGAAACCTTGAAGCCACAAGAGAAACTCCTTTATTAAATGGAAGTCGTGGGAGCCTTTGGCATGCCTGGCACAAGCCCTGAGGAACCCAGCCTCCCAATGGAGGGGGCGTTGGGGCTTGCACTGTTCAGTTCCACAACCCCAATGGCCAGTACAAAGCTCAACCGGGGCAGTCCGGGTTTCCCCAACATGGAGGGACGCAGGGTTGTGCAATCGACTGACTCGTGCAGCTTACCCCCACCCCCGGGCAACGCTTCCCCAATTGTTCGTCTCGGGAGGAGGGGGGGG